GATCGCCAAGACCCTCAAGGAGCTCCAGGCGCAGGTGGCGGCGCTCTCCGGGAAAGGCTCGGCCGATTCGGCTGGGGGCAGCAAGCCGCCCTGGGCCGACAAATCACCGCCCCCGAGGGCCGCGGGTACAGGGGCACCATCCTACAAGGAAGTCTTGCTGTTCCTGCGCGACCAGGGCGTCGATGCGGCAGCCATCACCGCGGTGGAGGCCGCCGAGAAGAAGGCTACGGACATCAAGCCGCCTACAGCGCGTTCGGCGCGATGGAAGGCGGAGCACTTGCGGACGAAGGTCACGAAGTTGGAGAGCCGCGCGGAGGCTCTGCGGCTTCAGAAGCTCGAGCTCGAAGTCCAGATCGATGAGGTCGCTGCCAGCTTGGCTGGGGCTCGGGCGGAGCTCACCGCCGCGGAGGACTTCCTCTGCAAAGCCCAGGCCAACGAACTCGGGGACCCGATCAGGGCTGTGTCGGCCGCCCTGGACACGTCGGTCATCGAGTCGGAGGCCGGCAGGGAGGCACTGGCGGTCCTCCAGAAGCTGCAGAGCGAGGCATCGGCAGCCGCTGCGGCGCAGCAGCCTCCTCCTCGTCCTGCTGCTGCTGCTGCTGGGCCGGTTCCTGGGGGCCCGGGAGGCGGCGCTGCCGTTGGCGAGGGAGGCGTGCGCGTCCCAGCCGCCGACGGCGACGAAGACGACATCGACATGCTCCTCCTTGGCGAGGGTATCGAGGCCAAGCAGAAGGAGTTCCAGGAGGCCACGGAGCACCTCCGCAGCGCTGCGCCCGCCGACCAGGCAGCAGCCAAGCGGAGGTACATGGCAGCCGCGGCCGCTCTCGGCCTGGGCGTCGAACGAGCGCGGCGTGGGTAACCTGCCCGCGTCGGTCGCCAGCGGGGTGGGCATGGCCAACCTCGACGCCTACTGGAGCGACAACCTGATCGACCTCGATTGGCCAGAGCTGGGCTTTGCAGTGCCCGGCCTGCGGCCGTCGAGGTGTTTCTCGTCTGACCTGGAGCGCAGGGCGCGCGAGGCAGGCAATGGCACAGGTGCAGTGAGTTCGAGTGCGTGTGGGCCGACTTCCGCGTCGACAGGTGCACTCACCGCTCCCGAGAAAGTGGAGACCCCTCCACGGGCGCGTCACCTGGGAGACTCGGGCGGGAGCTCCCCTGCTCCGCCCTCGCAGCCCCAGGGAGGACCCCGTGGGGGGGAATCGCTGGAGGAGCGGCAGAGGTCGCCACATGCAGCTGCGGCTGGCGCACTGGGCGATCGTCGGGCTGCCCCTCAGGTTCGCGCAGTGATGGCTCCCGCAGCAGCCGAGGAGGTTCCCGCAACTGGAGCGGCCTCGCTGAGTGCTGGGGCGGGGCCCGCCCGGTGCGGGAGCAAATCGTCGATGCACGTTGGTCTCGATGCGCCGGTCAGGGTGTCCCTCGAGGAGGGCCTTCCTGTTGTGGCTCCGGATGGCCTTTCCTCGTTCTCTGTGGGGACTCTGAATGCCAACACGTGGATGCGTGCGAGAGCCACCATGCCGTGGATAGAGAAGCACGATGGCATGCCGCAGGCCCTCTGCATCCAGGAGACGGCACTGGCGGCCACTAGCGAGCAAGGGGCCCATCAGTGGACGAGAAGTTGCTCTAGGCGCCTGGCGCTGGGGTCTTCGGTGAGGACGGGCGAAGCGGCCAGAGCTCTCTCGTCAGGGGCTGGCCTCTCCACGGCACTCGGCGTGGGAGTCGCCCTGCTGGACCCGGTGCCAGAAAGGTTCAGGCATCGAGTTCTGCTCAGGCTGTTGACGCTGGGGCCCTGTTCGTGGCTGATCGTCGGCTCCGTGTACTGCGTCGACTCGCTGGGGCCCAAGGGCGAGAACCTGGATATCCTCGAGTTCCTCGGCACTTCCCTCGGTGCCCAGCGGTTCCCTTTCCTGCTGGGAGGGGATTGGAACATGGAGCCCGAGGAGGTCATGGCCACGGGTTGGCTCGATCTGGCCTCGGCCACGGCGTACGCGCCCGGAGCACCGACGTGCAATGGCCATGAATACGATTATTTCATCGGCTCCCAGAGCTTAGATGCGTTTCCCATGTCGGTGGAGGCGAGGGTCGACGCGCCGATTTCGCCTCACTGTTACGTGACGCTCACTTTGGACGGAATCCGGGAGGAGCCCTTCGTCTGGGTGGAGTCTCCTCCGAAGGCCTTCCCTCTGGCGGATCAGGAAGCCAAGGCAAAGGCGCGAGCCAAGGCCGAGGAGATCTGTCCGCCCCGCCCCGCGGTTCGTGCCGAGTGGATGCTGGATAGGCCCATCCGGAACGTCGAGGAGGAGGCGGCCAGATGGTTCACGGCAGCCGAGCTGTACCTCGTGGACCTCTTCGAGATCCCGGAGCAGGACAGGAGGTTGCACCTTGGCCGTTGCAAGGGCGTCGCCATGAAGAAGAAGAAGCTCTCGGACCTCAGCAGAGGCACCCTGGAGCGCCATGACGAGACGGACACCAGGACCTGGCTGTCGATGCTGAGGCTGTGGGACGGCCTCTGTGTTTCGTCAGCTGCTCCGTCTGGTTCCAAGGCGGGTCGCGCCATCCATCGCGACAGGATCATCCAGCAGATGCGCTGCATGGAGCTACCGGTGCCGCTCTCCGATTCCCAGTTGCTCAAGGAACCGCAAGTCGACAAGTGGATTGTTGCAGCCCAGAAGGGTGGGCCATTGGCATCGTGGTTCCGCACGGTGCTCTCTGATGAGGTCGAGGAGCGACGCCGCCGCGATGCCAAGGCACGGAGCCAGGCCTGGCGGGAGTTCGGCCAGTCGGTCGTCGCTGGATCAGGCAAGCTTGCCCATGCCATTTGTCGGCCAAAGAGACTGGAGGAGGCCTGCCCCAGGCGAGGCACTGCTGCGCACGGGCTGGTTGGATCGGCGGCGATTGACGCAGTCCTCGAGGAATGGGAGGCCTTGTGGGTCTCCACCGATCGAGCTGAAGAGGTCCATCCGAAAGACTGGCAGTATGACTGGACGCTTGGCCCCGTCACCGAGCAGCAGGTGATGGACGCATGCAGGTCATTCGGCCCTGCTACTGGCCTGGGCTGGGACAACTTCCACATGCGCTTGGTCTCCTTCCTCGACGGCGCCTTCGTGTCTCGACTCGCCCAGATCCTCACCAAGTGGGAGAAGGCCCCATCCTGCGAGCACATGTGGATCACGATCAACGTGTTCTTGCCCAAGGCGGAGGGTGGAACGCGGCCCATCGGCCTGCTATGTTTCTGGGCCAGGGTTTGGAGCAGAGTCAGGCGTGCCTATGTTAAGGATTGGGAAGCCTCGGTGGATTCCAGCTTTTTCTGGGGGAAGGACGCTGCAACCAGCTGTGACAAAGCAGCGTATCTTCATAATATGTTGACTTGTCACGCCCGTCGTCACGGACTTACGGCTATGACCGTGTTTTATGACATCTGGAAGTTTTATGAGAACGTCAGCCACCAGGAGTTGCGCCAAGCGGCCGAACACTTCTCCTTCGACGGCGCTCTCCTGAAGGCCCTGCGCTGCTTGTACAGGGCTCCGCGCAGGGCGCGGTGGACTGGAGGCACCAGTCGCCTCAGCCACCCCAATGGAACTATTGTGGCCGGCTGCAGCGCGGCGACTGGGATGGCGAAATTGTTGATGCTGACGTTGCTGAGGCGCATTGCGTCGGAGACTCGCCCTTGTCGCGCCCTCAACGTGGTGGATGACCTGACGACGCACACCGTCGGCGGGCCCGCCACGACCATCAACAGCACGACCCAGAGCTTCGACATTGTTACCTCGGAGCTTGGAGCGCGCAAGCTGCCGATCAATTGGGGCAAGACCCGGTTCATGCTGTCCGACCACAGCCTCTTGCCGCAGTTGATGCGGGACCCGCGTTGGAAGATAGGAGAGGACAAGCTTGCCCGCTCGCACCGAGACCTTGGCGGTGATTCGAACGACGGCAGCGTCCGCAGAGTAGCCACGCAGGCCAGTCGCTTAACCGCCGCCGCCTCGACAGGCGTCGCCCTGCGCCAGCTCGGACAGAGTGAAAAGCATAGCAGAGTTTTCCGCGTAGGGCCACTCGCTAAGGCCATTTGGGGATCCCATATTTTAGGGATCCCCCCGACCAGCCTCCACAAGCTGAGGGCCCAAGCGGCGCGCTCCTGGGGCCCTCTCCTTCCGGGGACCTCGTCGGGTTTCCGGTTCCTCTCGTCCCCGGGGCTCTGGATTCGGGATCCTCTTGTGGTGGTGGTCTGTTCGGCTGTGAAAGAATTTATTGGGGTTTTATGGAATTGTTCCACATCCCAGGCTGCGCTGGCTTCCTGTGTGCACGATGCCCAGGCGGTCCGGCAGAAGAAGGCTCCCTGGGGCCAGGTCCGACAACCCGTGGCTGCCCTCTTCCTCTTCCTGGCCAGGATCCGTTGGGCGTTTGATTTGGAGACGCTGTCTTTGATTGATGATCTCGGCAGGTCCTGGTCGGTGGAGCGCTTCTCCCCGAAATTTCTCACCCTGCTTGCGCGCAGTGCTGTGCGGCGCACCGTCGAGCGCGAGGAACAACTTAAGCAACATGATTTTTGTGAGTGGAGTGGAGGGGTCAATTGGGCCCCGCTTCATCAACTGTTGTCTCGGAAAAACTCGGCGTGCTGGACCAAGGGGCACAAGGCCGCCTTGTCGGCCACTTTGGCCAACGTTTATTGGTCCCAACGCAGAATTGCCGGCCATTGCCCTGAAGCGGACAATAAGTGTCAGCTGTGCGGGGAGGGCCTGGGGACCTTGTATCATCGAAGGTTCCAGTGTTGTGCCTTCGCCAGCTGGCGCCGCGAGAACCTGGATCCCATCGTCGCCGAGGCTGCTCGCAACGTTGGCCATCTCAGTGGAGAAGCCCGCGAACTTTTTAGCAGGTGCATGCTCCCCGACCCCACGGCCTGGGTGAAGAGGCCGCCGAGGGACCCGCTCGACCCGTGCACCCGCCATTGGCAGTGGCCTCAAGACGGCCCTCTCTTCATCCCGGATGGGGCCAATGTTTTTACGGACGGTTCCGGTTTCGAGGGAAGCATGCCCGGCTTAAAAACGGTTGGGTGGGCTGTCGTTGTCCTCGATAAGGATGGGAGGACGATCGCCGCCCTGTTCGGAGTGGTCCCTCTCGCCGAGGCGCCAGAGCAGCTGGCCCGCGACGGCGAGGATTTCGCTGTGTTGATGTTTTCGCGCCGTGCGGTCATTGGCCAAAACGTTTCCCTGTTTATCGACTGTGCTGCCACAGTCGGCTGCCTCCGTAATCTCCGGGGGGCTGCGGGGGTCACGTCGGCCAGGGCCCACTGGTGGGCCGAAATCGGGGACCGCCTTGAGGGGATGGCCGTGGTCAAAATCCCTGCCCATACGTCGATGACCGACGTGAGGGAAGGTAGGATCACGGACCTCCAGCGCTTTGGCAATTCTGAGGCGGACCGCCTGGCTAAAGAAGGGGCCGAACGGTTCCGCGTTTCTGCTGAGGATCGTTTTCTAGTGCTAGGCTGTTGTGAGCTAGTCAAGAGATTAGGCATTTTTTGTGCAACGCAACAGTTTGAATGCCGTGACCTGGCATTGCAAGACCACGTCGGCCTGGAGTGGCTTGGACATGTCATCCTGGACGCGGTCCCAGGTTTACCTCCTCTGCCTGCCTCCGCTCGGGGGGGAGCCTCCGCTGCTGCTGCGTGTGCTGCCCCCTCCTCTTCCTCCGAGGGCCTTGGTGGTGGACCCACCGGAGAGCCATCGCCCGGAGCTTGGAGGCAATTGGAGCACCTGCTTGAGCAGGCCGACGTTTACGAGTCTGATCGTGAGACGTTTCATGACTCGATGCTGATGTGCGTCAGATGTGGGGCCATGGCCCATTCCAGCACGAAGCGAGGGAATATTCGGTCTGTGTGTCGTCCCGTCGCGTCGTCGACGTGTCGGGGGTACTACCTGAACAGGTTTCGTGCTGGAGTTTATCCCGGCCATCGTAACCCGAAAGGGTTCACGTTGGCGTGCGTCGGTGCCCCGAGCCTGGAGGTCAGGGAGCATTGGCGGCCCTTTTTCTCTGCCTGGTCCCAGGGCTTGCAGGGGCCCGTGAAGCAGACGGGCCCCTCCGCCGAGCAGACGGCGTTTGTAGGGCCGTTGGCTGCGGACTGGAACCGCGGCTTGGCGCTCTACGGCCTTTCAGCCGCTGCGGCGAAAGCCCTTGGGAGGCAAGTGGTGGAGAGGAAGAGGGCGGGACCGGAGTTCGGGGATGAGGATCCCGATCTCGGCTAGTCCCCTCCTCCATGTGTGCATGCAGCTGTGAATTAGGTCGAACCTTTCTCGGTCGGGTGCGCGTGGATCTACTTATTGGTGTTCCTCCTCCATCACCCCTCTTCCCTCAATATTTCTTCCTCCCTCCGCTATCCAGCCCTTCTCTTCCTCCCTCCTTCCTCTCTCCGCGTTCCTCCCTCCTTACTCTTCCCTACTGCGATCTGCAGTTACACATACACACACACACACACTGGATACAAGTCTCCCCTCTTCCCTGATGCACTCCGATCGTTTCCCCGTCCCTCGTTCTCTCGCTCTCTCTCTCTCTCTCTCTCTCTCTCTCTCTCTTCCTCTGAAGGGAGAGAGGGATGTTGTTCACACGGCGCATCAAGTTGTTTGTGCGTGCGTGTGTTTTTATATTTCGATCAGAACGTCCCAGAATGTTCACAATGGTATTGACCCGTTGCAGGGTTAGTTACATTCTTGATGCTTCGCGTATCCTCACCAGCTCGTCCAGATACGAGCGTGGCGTGGCGTAATTTGGAGAGGTCGGGCGGCCTCTGTGGGACAGAGGCCTCTTGAAGGCCTTTTGGAGTCTCGTGGGATGTCCATGGGGGGGCTCTTGGTGGGCTCTTGGAGCTTATTCGCGGTTTCCTAGCGGTTCTTGGAAGTTTCTTGTGGCGTTGTGGATGCATTGTGGTGGCCTCTTGGGGCGTCTTGAGTGTTTTTTGGGACCCTCCTGGAGCGTCTTGCGGGCCGCTTGGGGGGTGTTCGGGACCTTCTTGGAGCGCTCGTGTGAGTTTTCCAGACCATCTTGGAGGCCATCGATCAAAGAAGGGGTTTAGTTGCTCCTGCTTTCCCAGGGGGGGCAAATTGAGTGCAAACCCTATTACACATCAATGTGGCTTGGTTTCTCGCGAAAGGGCCGTCTTGGACGCTCTGTTACTTCGCGACCCCCTATCGGCCCAGACCCAGGGGAAGGGGGTAGGGGGAGGGGTTGCGTGGGGTAGCTTGACCGTCAAGCTACCCCAAGCGGCAAGCCGCGTCGCCCACTCCCGCCCTCCCACTACACAAGTAGCACCTGAGTCTCAGCACAGGCAGGGGCTGCCATCGACAAAAATCGGGAACCAATGCAGACGCCAGCCAGGTGCGCGATGCTCGCGAGGTGCGCCTCAAGTACCAGGTGCGCCATATGCATCAGGTGCGACATTTGGCAAGATGTCGGCCGACTCAACATCCCTGCCAGCAACCAATGCAAAATGACTGCGGGTTTGCGAGCATTGCGTGTTGCGTGTGGGTGTTCAGCCGCAGTCATGTTGCATGTGTTGTTGGCAGGGATTGTAGGCCTGCGCACCGCAGGCAGTATGCCGCCTCCCCGCCATGTCTATGTGTGTTGACAGGGGTGGTGGGCCTGCACGCAGCAGGCAATAAGCCAGCCCCCACGCCGTCCCTGTCAAAAACCATGCAAGATGGTCGCGAGGCGTCCTCGCATGATTCAGATGTCGGTGCAAAGTGCACTTCGTGCTGTTTTTGTTTCTGCGGGGGAAGGGGCGCTGGCATTGCACACAGCAGGCAATGTGTTGGCGTCCTTACTAACAAACAATGAATTCAAAGTGTCGCGGGGCGTCCGCGCATGATCCAGGTTGTCGTGCAAAGTGCACATTGACATGTTTTATGTCAAGGGATGGTGCAGGGTGCAGGCAATATGCCAACACCCCCGCCGTCTTTCTCAAAAACCAATGCTGAATGGCCGCGTGGCGTCCACGCATGATCCAGATATGGGCTCAAATTGCACATTGCATTGTTCCCATCCATCCTGTGGTGTTGGGCCCTCGTTTTGAAGAGAACGCGCCGCGTTCCTTCCTCCTCCCCCCCTGCTCCCTCCTCCCTCCTCCCATACCTGCCTCTGCCCTCCGCATGTCAACGATTTCGGCACCCCTCACACGTTTCGTGGCCCCATGGGAGCTCCACTGACGGCCCCAGTGGCGACGTTCGCATGTGGGCGTCACGCTCGTTCCAGCACACCCCTCACACGTGTCGTGGACCTGTAGGGAGCTCCACCTAAGGCCCCAGGGGCGACTTTCGCATGTGGGCGTCACGCCCGTTTCGGCACACCCCTCACGTTTCGTGGCCCCGTGGGGAGTTCCCTCTAGGCCCCAAGGGCGACGTTCACATGTCGGCGTCACGCCCTCTTCGGTACATCCCTCAAACCTTTTGTGATCCAGGGAGCTCACCGAAGGCCCCAGTGGTAGGGCCCATATGCGGTTCCACACCCATGTCAGCACACCTCTCACGCGTTTCGTGGTCCCCCAGGGAGTTCCACCGAAGGCCCCAGTGGCACGGTCCATATGCGTACTCCCGCACGTTTCGGCACGCCCCTCACGCGTTTCGTGGCTCCGCAGGGAGCTCCACCAAAAGCGGTACGCACCCACAACGCGGTACTCACAATTGCACATGGTTTGATTCTTCATTTGGATATTGAAAAGTCCTTACGGTTTGTGCCGCCGACCCTGAAGGCGGGACCTCCTTGGGGGCCCCCGCTGGAGACCCCCCACGGGACCCCGGGAAAATTCTGACCCAGAACCACCCCCCACCACAGGCGGGGCCTCTCCAGGGACATCCGTTGGCAACCCCCCCCTGGACCCCGCGATTGGGGGGTATTCTGTTCTGGGACCCGCCGCCCCACCCCCCCTGGCCGGCAGAGAAAGGATAAAGGGAAGAGAATCGACCTAATTGCGATGTTCGTTTTCTTGTTCAAATTACTTGGGACTGGCGACGACGATGACAACGATGACGGTGACGACGATGACGACGACAGCGTCTCTCACACGCCGAAGGGTCGGCGGATTTGTTTTGACGGATGGCGGGGGAGGCGGCACGCATGGTCCCCGGTTTGTCGTCGGTCGTGGGTGGAGGGGATGTATGTTGATAAGGAGCAGTCAGTGATAAACCCATCCCCGGAGGGGAAGAGGGAACATGGAAGATGAAACACGCTAAACAATTTGCACCCAGAGCGCTGGTGGGATTTCAGGATCGGCGCTTTGCCCCCGTTGTTCAGAATGGTGGTCTCGTCAATGTGCGTCCGCATGTCTGGATCCGATTCGTTCTTCGCCGATAACTCCTCCACCTTCCGCTGACAGTCATGCTCCTACTGTTCCTTTTCATGCTTATGCTCCTCCTCCTCCTCCTCCTCCTCCCTCATCCTCTTCTTCCTCCTGCTCATCCTCTTGCTCGACCGCTTCTTCCTCCAAAGCGCCCGGTTCCTGATTGTCCATCACACGATGGGGCCATTATGAGGGACCCTAGGACACCCAAGTCGGCGGATAGAACAGGATTCAGCGCAGTGGGGAAGGAATGGGTGAACGGTGCAGGAGCGGACCCAGCTTGCATCATTTTCTTATCATCCTTCCTGCTCCTCTCATGCCCATCTCTCTATTCACAAAATCCTGCAATGTTTACGCTGGAGATTCCCCCTGCAGCGCAATCAGTGTACCTGCCATGAGAAAAACCTCGACCCGGGGAAACGAGCTTAATGCGGGAAGCGGGAGCGCGAACCCCAGAACGAAAAAGCGCTACCCAAGGAAACCGAACCACGAACCCAGGAACCGCGGGACGCGTCGAACCCAGGAAATGAAGAGGGCGCGAGGCGTAGAAGGAGAGGGCGAGGAGGTGGAGGAGGAGGGGGATGGGGAGAAGGGGTAAGCGAACGACCCAGATGGACTTACAGGACGAGGATGGGGAGGAGGAAGTGGAGTTGGAGCGTCAGCAGAGCTAGATGAGGTGCAACTACAGGAGCTGGACCAGGAATAGGTGGCTCTTGCCCCCTGCAGCCGTTCCGAGTTCGAGCGGGTGCGACAGGGCCGAGGGCCCCAGGAGGGACCCCGGGAGGGGTCTGGGGAATCGTTCCCCAATCAGAGCTTGCCTCTGTAGGGGTCCTAGCGGATTGAAGGGTTAGGTGAGGTGCGTCGCCGATTTCGGTGGCCGGGCCCGGATGCCCGGGTGCGCCCGGGTGCCCGGTGAGGTGCGTGGCCGATTTCGGTGGCCGGGCCCGGGGGCCCGGGAGTGCCCGGGTGCCCGGGGGTGCCCAATAGCCCAGTAGCCGTATAGCCCTATAGCCTTATAGCCCTATAGCCCTATAGCCCTGTAGCCCTGTAGCCCTAATAGCCTTATACCCCTATAGCCCTAATAGCCTTATATCCCTATAGCCCTATAGCCCCATAGCCCATATAGCTCTATAGCCCCGTATCCCTATAGCCTATACGCCATATGGCCCTATAGGTCACAGTCCTACAGCCCTATAGCCCGATAGCCCGATAGCCCTATAGCCCTATAGCCCGATAGCCCTACAGCCCTATAGCCCGCCCTATAGCCCGATTACAAAGGGAGCAACTGGAAGAGTAAAAACATCTGATTGGGTGTGTTCTCTGGTATTATTTTGCATGGATTTTGTCGTCGTCGTCGTACCTGGGGGTTCACGTCGGGGCTCCAACCTCGTATCTTGGGGATCTAGGTTGGAGGCTTACTGGCCCTTGGGGGGCTTCCTGGTGGAGGGCAGCCCCGAGGAGTACCTACTCGTCATGTTCCTCTTCCTGTTCTTCGGTGATTGTTCGTCGACTCGATGTTCGGAGGTCTTTCGTTCTTTCCGGACCCCTTTCGGGCCCCAGGGCGGTCGAGAAGCGATCTGGCAGGGGTCCTCGTCGTCGTCGTCGCTGGCGGTTGTGTCGGTTGGTTGGGTTGGTTGGTTGATTGGGCCGGTTGGCTGGTTTCTGATTGGCTGGCTGGCTGGGGCCGTCACGCTCCGGCCACGAAGCCTCCGCCATCTGGGCTTTTCCGCGGCCTTCTCGAAGCCATCCTGGGAAACTTCGGCCGCCCCACCCGCCGACGATTCGTTGGACGCCCCGTGCCGGTCCAGGGGGGGGGCAAGAGGGGATGGGGCGCGCCCTGGCCTGAAGGGGAAGAAGGGGGTTGGGCGAGAGGGCTCGCTAAACCCCTTGTCGCCCCAAAGGGCTTGTTGATTTTTCCCATCCCTCGGACCCCTCCCACCTGGACCTCCCTGGGCGTTTCTATGGGCCTCTCGCGGGTCTCTTGGGCCGCTTCGGGCGCCTTGGCCGCGCGGTGGGCTTTGTGGGGCCCTGTGTCGGCGCTTCTCGGGGCTGCGTTGGCGCTGTGTGTTGCACCTCGCGCGCGCCCATCGGGCCGTTCCACGGAGTGATCCCGAATGGCGCCCTTGGGGCTCAGTTCAGAGCTTTCTCGTGCCTCTCGAGGTTATCTTGGGTCTCTGGGCCCCTGGTGTCCCCGCGTGCTCTGCGAGCCGCCGTTGATATTGTGGGGCCGCCCGGCCCGGGTTGAAGCCGTCGCCCTGGTATTTCTGGTTTGCCGCGGTGGGGAGATAATTAGGAAAGTTATCTCCACTTCCGAGTTGCTGGCCCCGAGGGATAGTGTCATCTGGGCGAATGACCCAACCATGTGCAGTTGTGAGTAACGCGGTTGTGGGCGTCGTCCTCCGTGCACATACCTCTGGGGCCACAACGCGTGCGACGGGTGTGCCAAATTCGGCACGGGTACACCATGCGGACGTTGTCACTGGAGCCGTCCGTGGAGCCCCATGTGAGGCCACGGAACGTGTGAGAGGTGCGCCGAAATGCAGGGTGGAACCGCGTGCGGGCGTTGTCACTAAGGCATTTGGCAGAGCCCCTTTATGGGGCCACGAAGCATGTAAGGGGTGCGCCGACATGAAGGGTGGAATTGCATGCGGACCCTGCCACTGGAGCCCTGGGTGGAACATCTTATGGGGCCGCGAAACGCGTGAGGGGAGCGCCGGACTGGAATTGGAGCTACATGCGGACCTTGCTGGGGCCGCCGAGCCTCGGCGCGCTGGGCCCCGCTCTGGCCCCATGGGTTGCCTGGCGTGGGCGCGCCGATGGCTCTGCCTCCCGCGCCTGGGGCCGTTTGTCCGGCCTGCGCGAGGGGAGGCAAGGAGAAGGAGAACGAGGAGGACCAGAAGGAGGACAGCAATTCAAACATGGGTATCTCGATGCCTGCTCCAAGCCGCACTTGCTGGCTGAGGGCGAGGAGCCGCGTCAAACCCGAAATTACATCCCCGGCCCTCGCTTGCGTTCCCGCGGGTCTTGCCGATGAGCTTGCCGCCCGGAGAGAGAGCCCCGCACGCCGTCGGACGGCGCACGCCGCCGCGGCGCCTTGCTGCGAGAGGCGGCCCCGTCGCACAGCGGCCCCCGCGCCTGGACTCTGAGGCCTTCGGCCACGGGGGCGCCTCGAAAAGGCCCCCCCTCTCGCGGCGCGGCAGGCTCTTCTGCCTCGTCCCCTCTTCTTCGTCGTCGTCCTCCTCCTCCTCCTGTTCCTCCTCTTCTTCTCGCTCCTGGTTCCTCGCCCCTCATCCCCTCCTCGCTCAAGCACATGTCGTAAGAAGGAGAGAGCAGGGAGGAACATGAGGGGCAATGGAGCCGATGTAAAAGATCGTGCATTCCCATGTGCGACGGAACCGGCGCCATTGAAGTCGGAGGACCTGCCATACTTGAATAGTTGAGCGGGGCCGGAACGGAATCACTTACAAAACTCGTGTCAGATATGACGCGGGAAAACCAATGGGAGTCGGAATCGGACTGGAAGTCCGGAATTGACGCGCGTTGCCTTTGGACTTGCAATTCGGCGTGTCAAATCTAGCTGAACCCGCGCGAGCGTTGGAAATAAGCTCGGAAATTGGTGTTGCCCAAAGCCACTGGGGTTTGGGAATTTCGCATTAGTTGCAACGTGGAAATCGGTTTGGATCGAAAAAAAATTGTCTTACGACTGGCAGAACTGCCATCGAGCCTGTCAAGAGCATCCAAGCGGAACCAAAAACAATGCAGACATGCAGACCAAAATAATGGAGATGCTTGTTTGATTTCCCGTTGTCTATACCTGCGACATGTTTGTCGGGCCGTGGAGGCGGAATTGGAAATCGATGCGGGTCGAAGGCGTTTCAGCGTTGTCGACGCTTGCCGCTGGGTTTCCCAATGAAATCGTTATCGAATTTGCAATAGTGGAACCAAACTCGGAACCAGAGTGAGACGCGAGGAATAAAATCTGATTCGACATTCCCGACCTCGTTTGTTCCCCGAAGCATTGCAAATGTAGATCCCGTGGTAATTGCACATGCTGTGCCCGCCGCGCACACCGGTGTAGCCACAACATACATGCAACAGAATTATGTCATAGCACAGCTCAAATATATCTTCCCCGCGCACAGGGCGAGCACGCATGTTGTTCAACGATTGTAATATTACGTGTTGGTGCGATACATTAATGATTCAGTTTTGCAATTTATCCTACCAACCGGCACGCGTGTCACTACAAATTCTAGACGTTTCGCGTATCCCCACCAGCCCGTCCAAAAACGACGCCCAGGCGAGTAGAGGGTCGTCTTGAGGGGATTTTCGGCGTCTTGGGTGCCTCGAGGTGGCATCTGTGGGCCGTTCGGGATCCTCTTTGGGGCCTCCTGGGGGTCTCTTGGGGCCATCTTGGGGCCTTTGGGGGCCTCTTGGGCGCTTCTTGAGGCCATCTTTGCCCTCTCAGGAGGCCAAAATGGGGTCAAAGTCTTAGTAACATCAGTGATTTTGCCTTCCTCGCCGAGGCCGTTTTTGACGCTCTGACCGTTCGCGGCCCCCCTCGTCCAGGTCCAGGGGGAGGGGACAGGGGGAGGGGTAAAAACCCCTCCCCGAAGGGAAAGGGAGAAAGAACAAACGCCTTAAACCACCGACGCCCAGAGGGCTGGTGGGATTGCCTCGATCAGGGAAGTGGACAGCACACCTTGTGATTTCTTGGCAGCACACAGAGGAAGCCAGTATGAGACATCTTGGGATTTCTCGAGCCATCTTGGAGGTAATTTTGGGCTTTCCGATGCGCTCTTGGAGTCATCTTAATCAGTACTTCCCTAAGAGGCCAACATGTGGCTAAAACCTCAGCGCAAACAATGGTTTGACATTATCGCCGGCTCAAGGGCCCAAGAGCTGCTCAAGGGCACCCATTTACCCTACAATCCCATTGTCTCACCTTGTTAACAGTTTACTTACCCGCACATACTTTTACCCTGCTCTATACTGTTGTCTCTTATTTCTCCCTCGTGTGACGGCCGACAGATGGCATGGGTGATTCAGCAGATGGGCAGTGTGCCATGGGCCCAGATCTGGAATGCAGGGGCCGACGTCTATGGTTGGGTATCCTCTGCAGTTTCGCGCTCCTATGCGGTGGCGGCCACGATGCCTACGGAGTGCAAGCAGGCGACGCAGGATATCCCCCCGTGTATCAAGTTATTCCAGGGTTCGGACCGTTTTCCCTCGGTTGGGGGTGGATGGTGGTTGGTATTTTCGCCGGCAGTTTGGTTACAGCAGTGGTGTTTCTCAGTTGCTTGCGGTTTGGGATTGGTTGAGGCCTTGCAACAGCGGCCGAACGGGAACGACACAGGCGACGAGCGTTACAAGAATTCGCGGGCCTGGCACACATGACGGAAGCGGACATGCTGTATCGCATCGTGGGTATACAGCCGCGGGCTCCCAGGACTTGGGCTCCCAAGCCACGCGGGACTTGTTGGGCTCATTCGCGGGTAGTTGTGCGAGAATGTATCGGTGGTACGTATATTACCGGCGGTATAATGATAGTACGCGCGCGTCCATTGCAGGATATATGGAGTAGTATAACGTATTTTTATTATGGCACACACCGCGCACAACAATTACGATCATGGCGCAGACCGCTGCGCGTAGGCAATTTCAGGAGCATCGCCAGGGTGTAGTATGGTAAATGTTTGATGTTTGCGATCGGCTACCACATTTTAGCTTACCGCTTATCCCCATTATATGGAAATAGAATCGGAGAGGCATCAAATCCAGGGCCTCATCTAGCTGAGTTGGTTCCTGCACGCACAGATGCATACGACACGCCTCTGCCTCCGCGCGCCCCTTCCCCCCCGAATCTTTCATTGGGCAACCGACTGGGCACATTTGGGTGGTCTGACACCAATACTTGTATGAAGTCGATTCGACCGTATAGCAGCACATTGCATGATCAGATTGCTTCAGACGGGTCTTACCCCGGCGCCATTGGAAGGGTTTCTTGAGATCAACAGAGAGCTTTACCCCCCAGGAGGCCTGAGCTCGACCCCCCAGCACTACATCGATTCCCGATCCCGCCAAGTCAGGTGACTACCCCGGGTTTCGATCACCAGAGCAGGGTTTCGGTAACCGGGGAAGGGTTTCGGCAACAGGGGAGAGGGTTTCGGCAATTTGGGGAAGGGTTTCGGCAGCAGGGGAGAGGGTTTCGGCAACCTGGGCAAGGGTTTTGGCAACGGGGGTGAAGGTTTCGGTAACGGAAGAAAGGCTTTCAGTAACGGCGGGGGGTGGGTTCGGCAACGGAGGGGGAATGCTTTCGGCAAGGGAGGGAGGGTTCGGTAACAGGGGGGAGGGTTTCGGTAACACGGAGGAGGGGGTTCGGCAACGGAGAGCACGTGGGCACGAAATCAACACAAAATAAAACATACAAGCCCGGCCTCTCGGGCCGCGAGGTTCCTCCAGAGATCCGCGGCCCCCGGGGCCTCCTCCCATGCCTCCGAGGAAGTGTGGGCCCGGGACCTCCTCCCATGCCTTCAGAGAGATCTGGGCCTGGGGCTTCCAAGGCCTCGCCGCAGCTGCTGCCGCCGCCGCCGCCGCCGTCGTCGTCGTCCTCCTCCTCTTCCTCCTCCCTTTCCTTTTCCTTCCCCTCTCCTCTTCTTTCTCCTCCTCCTCCCCCCTTTGTCTTCGTTCTCGATCTCGTCGTCTTTGTCGTATTCGTCGTCCTCATTATTCTCGTCGTCGTTCTCGTTGTCCTCGTCGTCCTCGTCGTCGGCCTCATCGATTTCGTCGTCGTCGTCACCGCCATCCTCGTCGTATCTCGTCGTCCTCCTTGTCGTCCTCGTCGTCGGCCTCATTGGCTTCGTCATCGTCGTCTTCTTCGTCGTCGTCGTCCTTGTCGGATCGTCCGCGTCGTCGGCCTCTTCGGCTTTGTCGGTTTTGTCGGCCTCGTCGACCTTTTCGGCTTTGTCGGTCTCGTCCGTTTCGTCAACCTTGTCAACCTCGCCGGTTTCGTCGGCCTTGTGTTCTCTTCTGGCTGTCTTCCAGGCTTACTTATTCATCCCCATGCTCCTGAGAGCGCGGCCTGGGCTTACGAGAGCCATGTTCTCAGTAAGGATTCCTTTCCGTCTTTGTATTGGCGCACCCCCGCCTGTTTTGGAAAAGAGGCTATGGTTGAGGATGGTTTTACCTGATTGTATGAGAACTTCCTCCAAATCTTCATCATACAGTAGCTTGACCTTTTCAAATACGTCGTGCAATTCTTCATCGTCGTTTTCATCGTAATCGCTGATTTCCTTACACTGGTCATCGTAGACGCGTTGCGCTATAGGCTGGTGCACAGCCACAGGCTGCATAAATATCGGTCGCAATTATCAAGAAGATCAATTTCCCCCGCTCACCGATATCACAAAAAAAAAGTAGGCGAAATGAAACGTAGTCGAAATCTTGGGCGAAACAAAAAAAAACGAAAGATTTGTTTTGTATGCCTTCTTCTTACTCCTCCGGTTCCTCTTCTTATCCGAACATTATTACATATATATATATATATATATATATATATATATATATGTATGTATATATATATATATACATATATATATACACATATAAGCCGACAAGAAGGTATCAAATATCTGAATGCTAAATTCGACAACCCACATTGCTAGTTGAATTTTTGTATCGCACGATCGTGCACCACACTGGCGGTCGAGCCGCGGTGCAGGAAGATTTGAAAGACCGGGGGGGGAGGGCAAACCAACTCTTCACCGCTCTTTCTTCGTGGCCCATTATGACGCGAATGCCAACATCAATTTTCAAATTTCACGCTCTGGTCGGGATCGAGGTCGGACGGGCAAAAGGAACGATGAAATTTATTGGGCATGGCACAACCGGAACTGGTTCAGCAGCGGCGGGAGTCCGAACTTTTCCTCGTGATATTGAAACTTTTTCACCCGTTACCGAAAGCGTTCCCCTCCGTTGCTGAAACACCGCCCTTTACGTTACCATTTTTTTTTTTTAAAAAAAAAAAAAAATAAAAAAAAAAAAAAAAAAAAAAAAAAAAAAAAAAAAATGCCATCCCCCGCATCGGACACGAAGCGACGCTGTGCAAGGCTATACCCGAAAACCTGGCATAGGTGAAACGCGGCGCAGCGAACAGCCTAAGCAACGCCAAAGGAGGAGGAGGAG